CGTTGATGGGTATATTCCTGCTCTTCACAGGATTCAGCTTTTTCATCGAGTCCGAACAGGCTCGTCTTGCCTGTGTTGCAACAGGAATTTATCTTTTCATGGTTGTCTACTCACCTGGTGAAGGTCCTGTTCCTTTCACATACAGTGCTGAAGCATTCCCACTTTACATCAGAGAGATAGGCATGGCCTTCGCAACTGCCACGACATGGGGATTCAACTTTATCCTCAGTTTGACATGGCCAGCGCTCGTTCAGGCTTTTACTGAACAAGGTGTAAGTTCTCACGCTTCTCAGATATTTGAGGGTCATTCTAAATTTTGAACAGGCTTTTGGTTGGTATGCAGCATGGAACTTCTTTGGGTGGACGTACGCCTACTTCTGTTTACAGGAGACAAAGGGTCTGTCCCTAGAAGAACTAGATACTATTTTCAGTGTCAGAGTCAGAGATCACGCTAGATACTACCGTACTATGTTACCGTGGTACTTCAATAAGTGGATCTTGAGAAGAGATGTCAAGCCAAGAGGTCTTCTGTACGACCTCGAGTAGATGTCACTTGCTGCAAATTTGTGGTCAGGGTAATCGATTGGAGTACTAGCAGTAGGATGAGGAGAGAAGGATGGCGCAGATATTTCTTTCCTGGAAGTGCTGCTGGAGGAAAGGTTTGATAATACCCAGCGCTCTCAGACTTTAATGTAATCATTCATATGTGTGGATGCCAGAATGCCCACACTCGATTTCTTCATCCACGCTCTAGCTTGAGTCTTCATAGAAAGTATTTCAAGTAGATATCCGGGAGGCTTAATGTTCATGCCTAGTCAAGGACCCTATTATTTTAGAGACACACACTAACTGACAAAACTCTTGCTTTTTGACTATGAACAAGTTCGCTACACCACGTCGCTCCTGGCGCTCCAGAATTGGTGTTGACAATGCTTAAGCGAATTCAACCCCGCGTTTACGGCCCCCAAAATATCCGTGTCAGTCACGAATGGCCGTTGCATTTCCTGTTTGTATTCCCTAGAAAAGAATTTCATAAGAGAGAATTGAACAAAAGACTAGGCTGACCGCTCCTGAATGCACTGTGTATAGCAAATTGATCGAATTTCAGACTCAGGTCATAGGCAAATGGTCGTAGAGGTGGATCATGTCCACAAACCGGCATTTCCCCACCAAAAACAAAAAAAAAAAAAAAAAAAGGCAAAAGAATAGGGTACATACAACAGTGGGAATTCGCTGGTGGTCACCCACCCAACTACTAATCCACCGATTTGATGCTTGTGTATGGCAGAGCGGACGGGATGCCCATTTCTCATCAATCTATGGTCGTATGTGACGGCTGGATGCTTGTTTGTACTTATACCCTGTTTCGAGAAAGGTGGAAGAAAATGAAGAACATATTTGCTAGTAAGCGAGCTCGTCAAAATGTAGGACTGAGGTCTGGAGTTGCAACCAAGATGATGTTAGGTTGAATAGTCTATGGGAAAATAGAAGAGCCGACGCTCTACTGTAAGAATTAGCCTTGAAAAAGCGTCCTGGAGAAGCAGTGAAGCATGTTTATTGCATTGAGAGAACACTAAAAGCAGACCAATCCTGTTGCAAGGAGACAGCTAAGTCACCGTTGTCTTTCGCGAGGATCACGTACTAATCCGCGAGACATTAGCACCGGAGTCTCGTTAGCCTAAATGCACATTGAATTATGAGCTACGAGACAACTGCCAAGCAACTTTTAAACATCCAGAGATGTCATACCATCCCACCTTCTCCGGCAATTGCGTAGTTGCCCTCACTCCTCCCATCGGCAATTTATCTACCTACCGAAGTACCACATCTGAACCTCCATTGGTGTGAAATCTACAAAAGACAACACGAATCGTAATAATCGCACGCTCACATAACACCACCCAATCATAAAACATCTCCAAGCCTTCAAGAAGTCCGAAAGTGGAAATTCAACCCCACCTTCCGAGATCGCACGCACGGCTTATCCGAAGCCTCCTCCTCGTGGAATCCGACGCTTACCCGCCCGGTTAGTACCGGGGAACAAAAGCTGAATGCTCCCCTCATGTTTACATGTTTGTCTTTCCATGTGAAACAAACTCCAAACCCCTAAATCCTCTACAGTCAATTCCAGATATTCCGCGGACCCAGACTATCAAGATAAGACAAAGAAAATAACACAGCAAGCTGCACAATGGCACCCGTAACCCTCCCCGAACCATTCGCCAGCATCCCCAAGTCCGATTTCCTATTCGGTCCATCGCCCGTCCATCACTTGCCTAGGATATCCGAGGCTCTGGGTGGGAAAGTAGCGATCTGGGCCAAGAGAGAGGATTGCAACTCTGGGATTGCGTTTGGTGGGAATAAGACGAGGAAGTTGGAGTCAGTACTATTTACCCCATTCTTGCCCTTCCAAAATTCTAGCTAATTGCGAATAGGTATCTGGTGCCCGAAGCTCTGGAGCAAGGATGTGATACTCTGATCAGTATTGGAGGTGTGCAGAGTAATCACACGAGACAGGTTGCTGGCGTGGCTGCGAAGCTGGGCTTGAAGGTATGCTATCCCTCAGCCCTCTCTCCTTGGGGGATTGTTGTCATGTGATGGCATCCCACTTTCACTTCGTAGAACTGTGTTGATGTGTGAATTGAATAGGCAAAATTGGTACAAGAGCACTGGGTAGACTGGACAGACCCCGGCTACGAGAAAGTCGGCAACATTCAACTCTCCCGTCTGATGGGCGCCGCTCCGCGTCTCGACCCCTCGGAATTCGGCATCGGGCACAAACAGACCCTCGCCAATCTGACAAAAGAAGTCATTGAGTCTGGCGGAAAGCCGTATTACATCCCAGCCGGGGCTTCAGACCATCCTCTTGGTGGACTGGGATTCGCGAGATGGGCTTTCGAGGTGGCGGAGCAGGAGAAGGAGCTGGGTGTTTTCTTCGATACGGTTATCGTGTGTGCTGTTACGGGAAGCACGTTCGCGGGTATGATTGCGGGGTTTAAGCTGTTGGAGAAGAATGGGGGAACGAAGAGGAGGGTTATTGGTATTGATGCAAGTGCGAAGCCGAAGGAGACGAAGGACCAGGTGTTGCGGATTGCGAAGTTTACGGGGGTGAAGATTGGGTTGGCGGAGGGGGATATTACTGAGACTGATGTGGAACTAGATGAGAGGTATCATGATGGGTGTTATGGGATTCCCGGGGAGATGACGAAGAATGCTATGAGATTTGGGGCGGAGACGGAGGGCTTCATTACGGATCCGGTGTATGAGGGAAAGAGCTTAGCGGGGATGATGGACTTGGTGAAGAAGGGGGAGATCAACGATGGAAGTACAGTTTTATATGCTCATCTGGGAGGACAGTTGGCTTTGAATGCTTATTCGGGGTTGTTTGAGTAGGGGGATCATTGTGCTGGTCAGATACTCGGTGGTGTTTATAAAGGATTCGAGTTTTCATGTTCATGTGCACATGGCTTTCAAGGTGTCTCTCAATGTTTAGGAGGATTATTTGTCATTCCTAGACAACTGAATGTTTCAAGGGAAGGGATTGTTGAGCTTGCACCTCTACGGCGGCTTCTCGCCGTCTCATCGGCCCGAAATTATCGGCATTTGCGACATGCAACAAACTGCCTTCGGAGGCACTGCTGAGGATTTGGAATCATAACCCGTCGGTATGCAATCCCTTATGGCTCATCAATTCAAGCAAGAGCATGTTGCGTCGAGCGAAAGCATTGACTTTCCCCGCGGACCTGCAACGGTAGCGTGGCTCTCAACACTTGCCGATCCTTCAAAATGCACAAACCTGTATTAAAAGATTTCAATAGTCCGTTCTAGTCGCGCCCAAGTGGTTCAAGGTGAATAATTCCCTTGTTTACTTTCACTTGCGACGTGCGACAAAAGTTTCATAGTTTGGTAGTGGCATGTTCGCCAAATCATGTCGAAAGGTGAATAAATGCTTTGTTTACTTTCATCTGCGACGTGCAACAAAACATTTGTCAAGCGAGAGCTTAATAGGTGTTCGATTTTATGGACAGCGTTTCTTTGAGACTTATGCTATTTCTAAGAAATTGATAGTGAAACCAAGTGGATAATTGAAATTCATCTCTGTTAGATGTTGATATTGAACAGACGGCTAATTAGGGAGGAGATATAAAAGAGAGAGATACTCCATCGAACATTTATTTCGCTCCAAGTATGTATTTTCAGTACATTGATATGCAGAGATATACTATAGAGATGTATGATCAGGAGAATGCTGCTCTGATTGTAGGGTCATGTGACCTTCTCAATGTTGACAATCTGTTGACAAAAACTAGCTGAGACGGGCCCTATAAGAAAAGAACAAATAATGACCGCAGAAGCTAAAAAGGAATAGTATAATCTAGCGGTCTCATTCGTAAATATCGAGTTAAACAGCAGATTGTTGAGGGTGTCTGGAGCGACAGCAGGCAGACGGAAAAATCAGACTTGAGAAACTGTTGTGGAGGCAATAAATGAAGCGTTTACTTTCAAACGATGATTCATAATAAGCTGAAATGGTGAAACATGTTTGTATGGCTGATTTGAAAGGCGGATAGGCATAGTAAAATGCTCGTAAAATGCTCGTAAAAGGGTCCGTTTGCGGTCACTCCCACCCTCAGCCATCCCCGCTTCAGGTCGTGCAATCGATTTTCATGATTCTGACCGTACCCAGGTCCTCCCTCCTCCCTCAATATCTAAAACCCTAACGATACTATAGCTCCAAAACAGATTTATACTCGGCAAGCTCGAAGCAGTTTATCCAGCCCTACATACCGAAGAAAAAAAAAGTGGACCTGCCTTCCATCCCAACCCTAGCCTAGCAACCCCACCACAGTGCATCACCCTGCCTCGCCCTGCTCTGCCCTGCATCCCACGAACCAGCTTTACAGTAAACCAAAATTCTACAAAACACTTCCCTATCCATGTACCCAAATAAGCAGCTCACACTCAAGTCAGCAGCTCTTCCCAAGAGGTGTGATGATCGAGCGTTTGTGGTTTAGTGGTAAAATCCATCGTTGCCAAAAAGACGATCTTCTACCTACTTACCTAGGTAGGTAGATTGTTCCAGTTTCGATGGGCCCCGGGTTCGATTCCCGGCGAACGCATAATACAATGTAGAAATATCAATCACCGAGATTGATCTGATCTTTTACCTTTTTTGTTTTTTTTTTTGCGGTGGAAGGTGAGAATTCTTTTTTTGTGCCGGTGAGTAGAGCAGGCTTAGGCGAGTTTTGTTCGAGGTGGTTCTGTGGGGCGTGTGAAGGTGTTTGTTTACTTAACTTCTTCTAAGGTGTAGACTGGATGGATTCGCTTGGAGGTTGAAGCTGCCTTTTGGGTTTACTGTTTGAAGAGAGAGAGAGAGAGAGTAAGAGAGAAGAGGGGTAAAAGTTCAAATTAGCTAGCTTGTCACTGGACACCTCCTCCGTATTCCTGTCATGTTTTGTCTATATCTACCTGCACACCATACCGCAACGTCCTAAAAGGGCTGACAATTCACGAGCCAGACAGCCCGAGATAAATATTTAGAACTTGCTGCTTGCTATTGAGTGGTCAGTGGAATAGTAATCAGCGGCTAAGAACGCGCATGAGTTCAAGGGCGCATGCCAACTCGTTATAAAGCAACAGCTTGTCTTCAAAGCTAGGGTTCGGGGTCAGGTCGTCGTGTAGATAACTGCGTTCAGATAATAGCTGGCGAATGTGTCGATGGAATGTAAGTCGATAGGATGTCGTTGAGGTCTTCGGAGCCGGCCTGGTCTGGGTGTAGATTAGCGAAAGATGGTGGCGCAAGCAGTAGCTCGGGCTGGGGCTCGGGCTCGGGCTCGGGCACGTGGAGAACTCTGCAAGAGGTACTACTGTAAGTTAGCTAAAGTTCTTGATATTCCGTGACTGTAAAAAAAATAAAAAATTCTTGGGATGAGGTACATGTGAGCCGTTGATACCAATCTCAATATATGGTAGCGCTGCAATAGGTGACGTTGAGAAGGATGATTGGGAGGAAGAGAAGCCGAGGCGGGCAAAAAAATGCGCTCGCTTTGTTATTGGTGGGTGGATGTACAGGGGACAGATGTCAACAACTGCAGGTACCCGATGATAGGACGAGTCATTTTATAGCTGGATGGTTGTATGCGTACACCTTCAACAGATAGCCGAGTGCATTTCCCAGACTACCGGGTATCATTCTGGTCTCTACTGCTACAATGTGAAGTATTTACAAAGAAGTGGTGGTCCTTTCTTTCGTTTTGAGTTAGTCGGCTGGCTTAGTCGATGATATCCGCATCATCCCAATCACTGTCTTCTATGACTGTCTTGAGATTCCCCGACCTGCCGGTCGTTTGATATGAGGTTCCCTTCTGGCTTTGTGATATGTTACTTGTGATGGATCCGGTGTCCGAGTCTGAGGAGTCGGAGAGGGCGTCCCATGTATCTCCCATACCGATGTCCGCTCTCCCCTTGCCTTTCCCTTTACTCAACTTTCGCACGTCGGCCTCTTCATCAACATCATCCTCATCTTCGTCCTCTGAATCCTCAGCAATAGCCTGCGAAGCCGTATCCTTCCCCTTCCGAACCCTTTTAACCTTCAACAATTTCTCTACCTCCTTCTGTCCTCTCATTCTCAAGCTCAACTCTTTGACTACATCCACCCACCTCAAATCTACTTTGCAGCTCGGACACGTGCCTTGAATTGGTAGTAAAATTTCCTCGTCTGCATCTTTGAGGAAGTGTTTACTCAGACAAGTGATATGCGTCACGGCTTCACAACCAGGAGTAGGGCAGGTCGTATAGATACCTGCGTCATGCTCGAGATTTTCGTGGCAGATTGCGCAGGAGCCTTCTTGTTCGAAATCATATATATTTTTGCCTTTCTCGATGTGCGGTTTGGTCGTCTCGTATCCTACTTCTAAAGCTTCGATACCGTGACTTGTCTTCTGTCTTTTGGATCGCGGACTCCCTTCGACATCCGAAGGGGCTGGAGATACTTGTTTGGGAGAAGAGGGAGGGAAGTCTTGGATGATGGTTATGGTGTCCTGGATTGGCTCTGCAGTTGTCTTGCACCATTTTATCCAGGCTTTGTGGACGTCTGGTGAGAAGAAGTGGAGGGAGAGTGGCCAGCGAGCGAAGGAGGGGACGCGGAGGAGGAGGTGGAGGTTTGAAAGGAGGGAGGGGACGCTGTGTCGTGGTCGTTTTGGCTGGCCGGATTTCTTCTTGCCGGCAGAGACTTGGATGCGTGAGTCGGAGGGGATGTGGGTTGTGACGTGGGGGTTTTGCCATGCCCATCTGAGATTGTTAGGGACATGTTTTAGAACATTGAGGAAGTCAAGAAGATGGAAGAGATGTCTTGAGACATTCTTGTTACTGCAAGGAGAACGAAGAAAGTCCCTGAGAGGGAAGTAAAACCAGGATCACCTGATGGCTCTATGCACGTGACATGAGCAAAAGATGAGAACTAGAACTCACTCGAATTGTAATGCTGCAATATGGCTAGGAAATCCAGTGACAATACAAGTCATCTCCCATGGCCTCATACTTGGGCGATTCGTCTTAGCAGCACCCCCTTTCGCGATGCCATTATGTTGACGCAGTCGTCTCACTAAGATACAGTCACGTCAGTGGAAATGAAGCAACTCGCCCTTCCTGCGAGTCGGTAACCAACCTGGATTCGGTGTTGAGCCGACGTAAACACTACTCCCGCGAACCGTCGACCGGAGGAGATAGCAACAGTAGAAAGCGGGTATAGGGCGGTCGATGGCCATTCTGGATGTTGATGGCGTTACCTTGCTCGGTGGTGGTGGGTTTGGTGACGTTGATTCAGTCACGTTTGGGGGAAGAAGGCTCAGCGGGAATGAGCCAGGGCGGTGGGTTCAGATGAACCTATCAAGTGGGATGAATGACCAACATCAATCAACTCAAGAGGTTGGTGGCAGGCGCATGGCAGTTCGATGGCAATATTGAATGCAGCATCCAATGCACAAATCCCAATCAGGATTGCCAATTCATGTAGAAGAAAATCAGCCGCACACCAGCAGATGTCGTCGTTGCCGTCGTCGGTGGATGGTCGACGTCGATTGCTGACTCGGAAGTGCCGTCTCCCGATGGGGGAAGGAGGAGGGAGGGGAGGGGGGGGCGGGTGGAAGCTGGGAAAGAAGCAACTCCTGGCCTGGCTTAGGGCGATCTGGGTGTGGGCAGGCAGGTGGGGCGTTGTCAACTACACGTCTCGCTGATTGGCTCCGAAGCCAATATCTAGTTTGGTCCCCCGTCACTGACCCCGGTCAGTATCAAAGGAAGAAGGAGGAGCGGCGACCAAAATGGATGGATGGATGTTTGGAGGGATGATGGATGGATGTTTGGCGGGATGCGCTGCAAGCTGCAACTCTTCGAGCGGGGGAAGACTGATGGTTCCAATTGTAAGTACCAACGAGAATTACAGACAATGGGGACATATCCTTGGAGAGAAAAAGCATTCCTCGCCCCCATGGTTCTGTCTGATATCTTTGATGGTGTGTGCAGGGATGGGCTGCTTGGCTGAGGACTCGCACCACTTCTGTCGCTTCTCTTCTCTGCAACAATCGAGTAGAGAGTAGGATGGCCGGCCCATAGGTCTGAATCGGTGTCGAAGAACAGCACCTGCACCTGCACCCGCACCCGCAGCCAGAGCCAGCACCAGAACCAGAGCCAGAGCCAGAGCCTGACCGGCCGAGCGAACTGTGGTCTGGTCTGGTCCGGTCTGGTCTGGTCTGTCTGCACTCCCGTCTCCTTCTCCTTCTCCTTCTCCTCTACCTATGCCCCCCCGTCCATACGTACGAGTACCGTGCCCCGTGCCCATGCCGCCGCTGTAAGATGTGCCAGACCCAAAATCCACCACCGTACCGCACCGCACCTCAACTCACCCGCTGCCTTTCTCTCTCCACTTCTCCCTCCACCTACACACATATCGAAACCCTTCTCTTCAACACAACTCGGCACCGCACATCACACAACACTCTTTTCTCCCGATACATATCCCAACAACACCAACACCAACAGCAACAGCAACAACTACCACAACTTCGACACCAACCACCTAATCGTCCGTACGATCGATCAATACATCTGCGAATACCCTGGGATGCACCGAACGGACCTGATATTGCGCATCTAGTCGTCGTTGTGGGTAGAGGCAGGCAGGCAGGGTCCATTGCGAGGGGGAATTAGGACGGAGTCACCAACATATCTGTCGGGGACGACTACCACCTGAGAAATACAGCCCTTCGATGTCTATACCGTAGATATTTCCGCCGTCGAATACCCTCACATCCTCCAAACACACCCCATCTTCCGCCATCATGGTGCAGGTACCGACGGCCACCACGGCTTCCAGCTCGACCATGCGAGCCTCGCCGGCAAGTGGTACGAACAGCAGCACCCCCTCCGGTCGAACCAAACCAGTCCCCAATGGAAATGCGATCAATCCCGCCGCGGCTCCGCTACCTCTCAGCGCCATGAAGAGCTTGCCTTTGGATCTGTCCAGCGTCGAGAGGAGGGGACAACCAACTGCTAGCCGAGAGGCCACCAAGAAGATACGCCCGCATCAATTGCAGGAGGCTCCCACGTACAGACCGACGGAGGAGGAATTCAAGGATCCTTTCGCATACATGAAGAAGATTTCGCCCGAGGCCAGCCAGTACGGTATCTGCAAGATCATCCCACCCGATTCGTGGAAGCCAGACTTTGCGATCGACACAGAGGTACGAGAATAGTCCATATTTTAAACTTCCGCCGAAGGATGTACTCTGCCTGTGTCCTAGATATTCTGGCTACTACATATGATTTTTGGACATGTCCACCATACTAATTTTGCTCGTAGCGCTTCCACTTCCGCACCCGAAAGCAGGAGCTTAATTCCGTTGAAGGGAGTGAGTCCATTTCAGAAATGCATTACCTGTGACAACCAAACTGACCACAACACCAGGCACTCGCGCAAATCTGACTTATCTCGACCAACTCGCCAAATTCCACAAGCAATATGGAACCAACCTCAATCGATTCCCCAGCGTCGACAAGCGGCCACTCGACTTGTACAAACTCAAGAAAGCGGTCGAAACCCGAGGTGGATTTGAAAAGGTCTGCA